AAATCCGACCCATACACATGCTGGAGCTCTCGTCGTCGTCCAATCCTCCAAGATCGAACTCCTCTCCTCAGATCCGACACGGGTTTTATTTAAGGTTCTCGATCACTAAAATAATTCCGGTCGCCATCAAATCAGATTTCTGGGTTGATTTTTATAAGTGACGAATCCCTAAATGTATTGATAAAGGATTGGTTCGTTGTTACAGAGTATATCGGATATTCGAGGTTCGAGTAGCAGCGAAGTGAAGAGAGGCGGAGGAGATTAACCGGCGGCGAGCACGCATAAGAGCAAAGGAGTTTCTCCGTCACCAGCCTTGAAGTTGCTATTTCAATTTTTTTAAAAATTATTAAATAAATAATTAATTTATAAAACCTTGGTTTTTTGGGGCTCTTACAAAAGCATCTTTATGCACATTAATGTTTTCTATTGAATTTAAATATAAAAACTAACTTTCGATGGTTTTGCCAATTTCTTAGATCAATTTCTAATTGACTAATTCAAAGACACTAAATTGAATTTAATTTCTAATTGAAATCATCTTAATTACCATTTCTGATATTTTTATGATATTTCTTAAGTTTTTAGAATCCATTGTGATCCCTAATTATATGCCCTACATTAAAACACACATAATTTTGGAATCAATTATAATTCCAGAACTATATTGAAACGTAGTTAGTTACCATATATTTAGAATCAATTATAATTCCTGATTCAAATGGAGTTATATGCCCTACATTAAAACCCATAATAAAGAGACTAAATTATAATTCGAAAACTCATTAAAAACGTAACTCCAAATTCAAATGGAGTTAATTACCATTTATTTCCTATCAGTTTATCTTTTTTTTTTAAAGTACTCATAATCCTCTCCAAGTCATTCTTATTCCAAAACCCCTCCAAGTCATTCATATTCCATAAAAAAAACAGTTCTCTGCCAATGGCAATTCCGGAAACTGTATAAATAGCAAAGATTCATGGAAAACCTTGAATTGTGTCACTATCCTGCCTCTGCCTCTCTTTATATCAAAAAATATATATTCATGTGGCAAGCATCATCGTTATGGTTCAAGTCATGTAAGAAATAGAATAGTTTATATCTCTTCCCTTTTTTACTTCAGTAACAAATTCCTGTCCTTTTGCAGGTTGTTGAAAACCTAATAGTAGTAAGGCTGCGTCTAACATTTTCTCACCAAATCAAGAGCCAAAATTTTACCAAGCAAATGTGATGAGATCTTTGTTTCTCGTGAGTTAAGAGAAAATGTATATATTTAATTTCTCAAGTTACAATTATATGATTTAATAAAAAGAAAATTAGCTCTTAAGCATTAGCTATTGAAAACCTGAAATCCCAAAATGTTCAGAAGAGTCACTCTGTCTACAGCATTAGCTGTTGTTCTCTTCTTTTCCCGGTTTCTTATCCCCACTCAATTGTTGTTGCGATTGATTAGCAAGAAAACTTCATTTTTGTAAGATCATTTCAATCAATATGTTCTCACTTTGTAGGTTAAAATATGGTTTATCTATGTTTTATGCGAACAAAGAGGATTTCATTGTCAAGCCGCGAAGAAGGTGCGAAACAAATTGAAAGAAATTTGGTAATTTTTTTATTTATAATATAGTCTTGATTGACAAAGACTCTTAGATATTCTAGCTAAGATTGCTAGATATAGAATGGAACCATCATCAGCAAGCTAGATAGGGTAACATCCCATTTTTACAAATGATTTCTAGCATGAAATCAAACAAGTTTTAAAATATAGTTTACACTTACAAAAATCCATACTATGGTTTCTCATAAGTTCTCCATATGTGATACACATAGAAAACTAAACTTAAAAGTGAAGATGTTGTTGTTTTTTTTAGGAGGAATATTAAAACTAAATTAAGTTATGGTTGAAAGGTATAAGCTTTGAGGATTGTCATAGACATATGTTTTCCTAAAAGTTTGAGTCTTAGATCTTGAAAAGTGGTGAAAGAAGAAAAATCTGTAGAAGTTTGAATTCAAAATTAGGTTATATAGTTCATGTTTGATGGTTATTCAAAATCTGGAGAAGGTTTAAGGGTGTTTTGGAGACACATGGCACCTTGTCTCTTCTATATGAGACAAGGTATATGTCGAATCTTCTTCTCTTCTAGTTTCTACTTTTTCACGTTTCACCTGGATATGCTACATCTTTTCGATTTTTCCATAAGTTTTAAGCTTCAAGTCATTGTGATTGAGACGGAAGTTGAAGCCTTGAGGCCATACTTACCTTAACTGGATTTGGATATCGACTATGGAGGTGTCGAAAATTGTGTTCACATTAAGA